CGTACCCCTTCGGTTGGGGAACTTCAGTGCCATAGAGTGGATTGATTGAAATCCACAAAATGGGAGAAGTATGGAAAGCGCCATAATGACTGCACCTTAGCTGTTTGAAAGTCTCTTCAGCTTAAAAGGATGGCGTTTGCTCGCTCCAGGTGTGCTTATATGCTGGGATAATTGGCAATGAAGTACACCTGTGCAAGTTTACGCTGCCAATTCATTGCTTTCATTGGCCTGTTCAATACTCTTACAGACAAGCGGCTTCTGAACCGAATCCTCCCATTTCGTGGATTTCAATCAATCCACTCTATGGCACTTCCGTTCCCCTTCTCGGGAAACGAAGGGTTACTTCTGTAACCTCGAACGTTCTCCATTATGAACGACTTGTTCACTTATGCAACAATAATACAAGTTTCTGGCACCGCATCATCTCGTTGTCATATTTCTTTTGCTTTGTTTGCTGACTTTATTCAACAAAACTAGCATAAGCAGAGTGTTAAGTGGGAGTTGGTGCTACTTTGCCTTAAGGTGAATGCAGTAAGTGACTGTTATCATCAATAACGTTACCTGTTTAGCACAAAAGTTCATAAAGTACAACGTAAAACGTAAAAAAAATAAACATTACTTATAAAATGTTCTGCCATTGTGCTTTGTTTTCTTTGTTTGCCCGTTACTACACCCTTAGACAGTGCTAAAGTTCAGCATCTTCACATAGTAACACTGTCTTGACTAGTGCAGTTGAATGACATTTGTCCTGGGAGCACTGTACAAATATGGCGGCGCTATTGACGCATGCTCAGGGTACCTATGCGATATCTAGTGTATATATCTATGGATCTACATCAATCCTCACCGGTACAGCAGAAGACCTACTGGAACCAGCATGGAGACCAGATTCTGACAGAAATCAGTCAAGTTTGGTGAAGGAGAAGTCATGGTTTGGGGGTGTGTGAGAGATCTGCAGAGTGGATGATCAACATCAACAGCCTGAGGTATCAAGACATCTGTTCTGCCCATTACATTACAAACCACAGGAGAGGGACAATTCTCCAGCAGGATAGCGCTCCTGCTCATACTTCAGCCTCCACATCAAAGCTCCTGAAGAAGGTCAAGCTGCTGCAGGATTGGCCAGCCCAGTCACCAGACATCAACATTATTGAGCTGATGAAGGAGGAGGTGTTGAAGATGAACACAGAGACTCTTGATGAACTCTGGGATCCTGCTGAAGGCTTTCTTCTTCATTCCAGATGACTTTATTAATCAGTGATGTGAGTCATGTCAGAGATGTATGGATGCAGTCCTCCAAGCTCATGATGGAGTCAGACACAATATTCATTCTGTCTCCACTGCAGCAGGACTTTATATTCTATACTGGACATTATTTCTGTTCAGTGATGAGACTTTAGTCTGAGCAGAGTCAGAGCGCACTGTCCTCATCAAATCAGTCAACATCAAGACATGATCAGATTTATTGAGCTCAAATCAGCAAAATCTAGAGGCAAAATCACTTCAGACACCAGATCATCCACTAGAAGAGCAGTTATTATTAAGTGTTCATAAAACTTAGATGGACGACAAGACTTTTGTCAGGTAGTGTGTGGTTTCAGCATGTGTGAAGGTGCATTAGTCCCATCACAGGACCTGCAATGAAGAGTTGATGTTGAAATTAACCAGATAACAAAGAACAAAGATTAACCCTAAAAGCATGAAAGATGTTTATACGGTCTATAATTGTAGACCATTTCAAGTTTCAAATTCACTCTAAATTTGTAAACAAACAATAACAAAGATGAATTGTATTTAATCATTTCTATAATGAAGCCTAGAGTCAACACTTGGATCAAAAAATCTTTTTAAAATAGTCTTCAGACAAGAAAAGATGCTCTTGAACAGTTTAATACAACTGTGATGAAAGACTCAGATCCACTTTAACCTCCTAGGGCTTGAGTGGCCACATACGTGGACAGCATATGTTAGCTCTTAAATGGCTGTTTAAAACACTTTGAATGTTTTGTATTTTGTTACAGACATCCAGTGTCATCCTGCAACTGTTGTGCAGCATATGAAATGTCCCAAACACTATTTTAACTGTCCAAAATGGGCAAAACAGGTTGTTTTCAACTCTCTGACAGTCAAAACACGTTCAAAAAATATG